GGAGAACCCGGAGAGAACCCACACTGCAAACTCCACACAGAAAGATCCCAGTGTCCCCACCGGGACACGAACAGGCAACTTCCTTTCTGCGAGGCAACAGTGCTAACCAACTGCACCACCTTGCAGCCCCTATCCACAGACAGTCCATCTATAAATGTCATCTCCCGACACTTTTTACATTCATGCAGCTCCATAATATCACACTCCCACGTCTGTGTTTCACTGTCAGGACTATACATTCATTGTAGCTCAAACCAGGCTACTGGCAAACCCAACACATTTATCTTGGTCTCATTTGATCAAAGAATGTGCTCCCAATATTCATCAGACTTCTTTTCATGTTGTTTAGCAAAGCTGACTTCTGCATGTCTGTACTTTAGACTGCAAAAGAACATGACGGCTGTGGTCACCTGTCAGGATGTCAGGACCAGCTGCAGAACCACAGATGTGACTGTGGAACTGCCTCGAGGAACCAGACTGCAGAGAGGGAAGGCTCTGGGTAAAGATGCCATCCATAAAGGTCATCTGGGCTGTCATAGAGACTCTGATTTCCTTTGAAAGACCCTCTGCCAAGTTTGTGTTTCAGAGGTAGATTGTGCAGGTAGTGTGCTGTTAATGGGGTCATTTTAGGAGGACGGGCACTGCAGTTCTAAATCGTGGCCCTATGACTTGCTCTATACCTCCTAATTACTGCAACAACTGTGTTTTAGTTGATCACCACTGTTCCTGTATGCATCCATGTTTTCTCCATGGAGCCACGATGCAGACAGACACAGACTATGTTCTGGTGTTCACAGCTCATCTTGCAAACACAATCCTGCAATTAGGCTGATTAGAAATGACTTGTGTACTCTTTCTTTTTGTTTTTTTTTTCAGTGAGCACAAATTCTCTACCTGGTGTGTCAGTGAACACGTGTATTCATAGTTGTTGAGTTTCTACTTTGGAGCCTGTCAATGTAGTCTTTTTAAATTCTTGGGTTTTGATTGTTCACAGAAATATTCCAATAGTCAAAATTTAATCACCTTAGTCACATCTGCTGCACACTGTTCTGTTTCAACATCAGAAAACACTTCAGACACAAGAAAAACAATAGCCACGTGTAAAAATGTGAATCATTTATTTACAAACTGTAAACTGTCCAAAACTAGCAAACGTCACCTCTTTCCAAAATGCTAGAAAAATACATAGAGTCCTCGTTGTTTGATGATTATACACAAGTTAGAAATCAGAGCACAAAATGCACTAAATTCATACATAATCCAAATTTACAGTCTAAAATATGAACTTTTTACAGGTTAGATCTGCAGGTAAAACGCAGAGTTTTTCAATACTTTGCAAATGCAAAGTAAAATAAATTATAGAACCTCTATTTTTAATTATACATATTTAAACTCAATCAAATCATCATCTATTGTACTGTACGGTGCTTCATTTCACACAGATTTTATGTTTTTTGGCACACATTAGTACAAAAGAGAATTATGACAAGGCAATGATACAGGGGCAGCTGTTCACACATGGGTTTTCTTCAAAGCATTTTTAAAAATACACTTAAATTTCCTTAGCTTTACTTGTTCTGTTGTAACTGAGTCCCTTTATCACAGCAAAATAAAGTTATCAAGTATCTTTCCACCTTAGCAGCACTAATGTTAATGTTCAGGTTTTTAAAAAAGATTTAAAATCTCTTCATAGATTCACATCCACAAGGAAAGCAGTAAGATGAAAGTAAACTTTATGTACCAGTAAAAACTTTCAATGTGAAGGCCAGTTGTCTCTAAAAGAGTTAACCTGAAAAAAATATATACTAAAAACTTCTATATATTGGAAAAATTAGGAATCAAATGAAATATTACTATCATATATAAACACACGGGGATGTTTTTATTTCTGTACCTCTTGGAAGTTTTAGAAGCAACCCAGAACAGTAAGCACAGGCTGCCTGACAAATTATTAGTGAGCATAATTTTCAGAATAAAAGTTTAACTTTTGGTGCTTTACATCTTCTTAGTGATGGGTTTTAACAACAAGTGCTTCATATGAAATGTCATCCAGCTTCCTTAAAGATGATCAAACATTAGATCAAAAACCGCTTCCTTCTGCATTTATTAAAAATGTGCACCTATCTTAAAATATTTTTTTTCAAGCCAATGGAAAACTGCAACACAGTGCTCTGAGCAGAACCTATCCATCCATCCATTATCTATACACCGCTTAATCCTCACTAGGGTCGCGGGGGGCTGGAGTCTATCCCAGATGACTCAGGGTGAAGGCAGGGGACACCCTGGACAGGTCACCAGTCTATCACAGGGCTACACTTAGAGACAGACAACCAAGCACACTCACATTCACACCTACGGACAATTTAGAATCACCAATTAACCTAAGCATGTTTTTGAACCTTGTGGGAGGAAGCCGGAGAACCTGGAGAGAACCCACACTGCACGGGGAGAACATGCAAACTGAAAGATCCCAGGTGTCCTCGCCGGGACGTGAACTGGGGATCTTCTAAGATGGTGCTAACCACCGAGCAGACCTCTGAGCAGAATCTTTTGTTCAAAAGAAAAAAACAAATGTTCACTTTGTTGTTACCTTTAGTTGCATAAATCACAATTAATGGATCAATCAAAACTGTAGGCCATGACGTCTTATTTCATATGTATACTACCTGCAGCCAGCTCTGTTTTACATGTTGTTCCTTGTGGGCAATTAACTCACCACCAGCAACAGACATTTTAGCATTTAATCCATGTTTGGCACTTCATCCTCTTTCATGTTCACGTGGCAAAGAAAATTTACATTTGAACATTAGGTTGAACATTAACTGAGTGCGTGACTGCTCATTTATCAGACCTCTTTAATGCTGCCTTCTTCCCTGTTAGTTGCACTGTCAGTATGACAGCTGTTCTGATTGGCTGTCCTCTGTCGACATGAGGAGCCCAGGTCAGCGCTGGAAACGGAAGCGAGCAAGGAGAGGCAGATGGTCTGACGAGTGGTGCTGATTGGGCAGGCCGTTGACTTCCTCCAGCTCTGACTCACCGACCAATGACAGCCTGCCCAGCAGCTGGAGGCCCCGCCCACCAGGAAATGAAGGAGGTGTGGTGAAATCTTTTAGAGGAGAACAGAGGGACACCGAAGACAGAGACACTGTGACTGATGTGACTGAGACGAAAAGATTAAGAGATGTAGAGGGGGAACAGGAAATCAGGGAGAGAAGAAGGCTGACTACAGTTTCTGCAAGTTTTGCCAGACTATAGATTGTTTGAGACCTTTTTAATACCTTCACATGATCCCTGTCTGACATATTTAAGCATGTGGGAAAACAAGCAGGATGACATGGTGTGCAAACATTTGTTATTTTACTTTCAAGCAGTACACCCCAAAAAATGTAAATTAAATAACCTACGGCAAGTGGACAGATGCATTAACAATGTTTAAAAAAGCCACATTGTAGTATCAATCAGCTTCCTTGACATTGCAACAGATGTGAGAGGCCTGATGGTTCAGAATGAAGCTCCTCAGAGCAGGCAGCTCAGTCCACTGAGGCAACAATCTTACTTCTAGTTTATAGATGAGTAACACCTCCAGACAGCCCACAATGAGATTCAAAACCTTCTTATAGCTGGCACTGCTGCCTGCCACCGGCAAGAAAGGTCATTTAAATGAATGACTTCGTAATAGTTTGCAACACAAACACTCTGCAAGACAGAAATAGGAAGTAAGGTGGGTAAAGAAAAGACGGTATTGGGAAGGTGTGTGTGCGTGTGTGTGTATGTGCGTGTGTGTGTGTGTCAGTACCTGGAGTGTACAGGATGTAATCCACTGTCATTGCCGTGCGGGAGTGACATGTGGTGATCTCAGGTCTCCCATCAGGCATCAGCCGGTGTTGATAGGACGACTGCAGCTTCAGGCCGTGCTCAATCCTCGCTCTGCACAAACACAAACACAAACACAAGGTTAGTGTGTGCTGGTAGGGACTGCAGACTCTGCTTTACTCACTTGGAACAAGATCTGAGTTATTTATCCAAATGCCTGATTAATACTCTACAGCTCTGATGCTCACTTGAGGCAGAGATTGATTTTTTCTACATATAAAGCAAATTGTGACAAAAACAGATTTTGTCACTTAAAGACTTTAAATGCATGTTTGGGCAGCATTTCAAAACCAGTTGGACACTTGCAAGAATGCTGCAGCTATTTTCAAGATCAGATCAACTGAGTATCACAACTTGGAGAGAGGGGACAAAAGATGGAGGAAAGACAGGAAAGGAAGGGAGGGATGTTACCTGTTAAAGGCAGCAGCAGCAGCAGCTTTGGTGGCGAGGTCTTCCACAGACAGATTAGAGATTCCTCCTTCTACGGCTGATAGAGAGAGATAGTTTCCGTTTGAGGCTCAACAACACTCAACTTCATCTGAATAAAAATTAAACAAAACTAGCCATCTATGATAGCAACATAGGAGCAGCAGCTTCCAAACCAATGCTTCGCGATGAAGTGTATTTCTCAAAATGTCAAACAAATACTTTAACGATGCAACTTGTTTTAAACAAATCTTTTGTTATATTATTTAAACCAGGATTAAATTTAACCACACAGGCAACTTAATGAGTCAATACTGACCTGAGCTTGAACTAGAAACTATTTACCTACAATGGCTCCAAGTCTGAACTAAGCTTATGCTGCTTAAGAATACTGCACCACAAGTCCCTGATTAGATCCACACTTACAGCTTTCATTTTAAACTACAACGACCTCCATTAGAAATAATCTCCGTCCCTGACAGGCCTGAAATGGGCTCATGAACATTTATGTACTCCTGGCATGGGTAAAACCACAGATTTCCTCACATAAACTACAAGGTCAGCAACGCCAGTGATGTGGTATCCATGTTGAATTAACCACTGGTACTCTTAGCTGATGTCTTCTTCCTGAAAAGTGTCATGTGATGTCAGCGTAACGAATCAGGACACGGCATGTAGTGACAGTAAAGACCCAGTCAGACAGTGAGTATGAGTGTCTGCATCATTGTTTCTAGTTTATTAAAACACAACCCCAAAGTTTTCAAGGCCAAAAAGTCTTCATACTCTGGAGAAGCGTTGATGCTGGATGTAGCAGAGGTTGTGTGTTTTCAAATGAAGACTGATTAGTGTGGTTGTAGTCTTAAACTGGAGGTGAAGTTTACCTGTAGGGCTGGTGGGGGAGCACTCAGCAGTGGGTTTGTTCTCATACTGACACTGATGGGTGATTCCCAATCTGTGAGACCAGATTGGAGACGTGAGGAGACGCTGACCTCTGGGACTGTTCTCCTGACCGGACACCTGCACAGAAACACAGACATGTTCAGCCTTCTATTGCAGATACTCACAGATTTGATTAACTGACTGTTTGTGCTTAAACCTGCCAGAACGTTTCTAAGGGTCAAAGTGAAAGTAAAAACAACAACCTACAGCTCGTAAGATTGACTCTGATTTTAAAAAAAAATGAAAACTGTGTGCCTCACCATGCCGATCTGCATCCCGCGATAGTCCAGGCAGCCTGAGGTCAGGAAGCTGTACAGCGGACTCCAAGGTGTGGAGTTAAAGTCCCCACACAGCACAACCGGATTGGCCGATCCATCCGGGAGGCGGGACAGTCGACCGATCTCAGCCAATAGGATGGCCAGCTGGGCCAGTTTGATGTCACCTCGACGAGGGTTGTACAGAAGGTGAGTGTTGGCGACGCAGATGAAGGAGGAGGGATCCGACTGGCTGATGGAGTCGTTAGGTCGCAACTGCACAACCAATCCCACGTTGTCCCGATCGAGGAGGGCGTCGCCAGGACGGAAGAACTCCACAGGGTTGGAGGAGAGGAGGGAGAAGCGGGAGGTCTTGAAGGTGACAGCACAACCGTCTGGTTTCTTTCCTGTTCGCTTCTTATACTCACAGTGGTAACCTGATACACACACACGCAAAGAGAGTTACCATTTTTCCAGTATTGGTAACACCTGTAGGCATATGAAAAAAATGTTGTTCATGATGTCAGAGTTTCTAACTACTTTTTTTCCCCTTTTCTATGACTTATGGTATTATAATGTTGATATACTGGATAAATCACATTCCTGAGTTCACTACCTCTAGTCATGGTGGTGCTATTTCCAAAGACGTGTGATTTGTTTTTGGGTTTTTTTTGTAACAGGGAGAATGAAGTGACAGCAGCAGCACTCTGCTCCTTCACCACCAACCAACACATATATACACACTCATGTCCAGAAATAATGGCAGGTTAACAAGCAGGATTTATTTTGGTGATTTTGCTGTCAAGGAGAACTGCATCCACCCCTTCATATATATTATCTACTGCCAAACCCAACCCTTTTCCTGACCTAAACCTGATCGGGCTATAACGCTTTTCACATATGTCAAAACTCAAAATACTCTTCACAAAGACAGACGTTCACATAAATACACAAACAAACAACGATTCCTACCCAGAGCCTGTAGAGCAGGTTTAATCTGGTTTTCATAGTGGTCCTCCTGAACCTCCTGAAGACACAGGATCTAGAAAAACAGAGTTTTCAGTAATTTATGTTCCATAGCCAAAAGTATGTGAACACACACTTTTTCATGTTGTTGCAGTTTTTACATGCTTTGGCTCTCCATTAATGCAACAGAATACAATGATGTCTGTGACTATAGTGTGCAGGTTGGTTTGTGTTTCAGTATGAAACTGCCTCAGTGAATGAACCAGAACCAGTTCAAGCTGTACTGCTCAGTATCAGAGATGGACCTGAAATACCCTGCAGTGAGGCTGCAGCTGTTCCTCAGGCGAACATGCTGTTTAAGTGTCATCACATCTCATCCACTCACATCAGCGTTGTGCTGCTGGATCTCAGCCAGCAGGTTGGGCCGCCGGTACTCCCACGAAAGGACGCTGGGGTTACAGTGTCGGTACAGGTAGGCGTTGTCCTGCAGCAGCTCCTGGGACAGAATGTTGTAGGACATCACTGAGAAATCAAACATTGTGCTGCCCCCTGGTGGCTGGAGGTCAGAACTGCAGGGCTCCCAGTGTCTCTGAAGAGCTGAGGAGAAGAGATGATGACAGAAGAGTGTGAGTTAGGACAAACTCTAGTGTCTTATTATCAAAAAAATAAAGATCACACTGATGATCAGTGTTTACTGAAGGACTTAACAGCTTCTTTACACTCTATGTTGAGCAATCAATGAAAAATGACTGAGTCAAGATATTAAAATATGTAACGTATATGTGGCCTGGGACTTTGGCAGCAACAATTCAATCAGGCAAATATAGATGTTAACAAGACTGTGTTCAGGTTTCCTTTTATTCTGAGAAACTTCACTTTGGTTGAAAGTGTTTATGCCTTAAAGAGAACGTTTAGTTTATTTGTGTTCCTTTAGATTTATATTGTTGCTGTGTGTTATTTCACTGAAGAGCAACCTTTTCTTAGCTGATCTAAGCATGAACAGACAGATTATTCAGAAGAATTGTGTGGATGAGGTCTTAAAATGGACTAAAGCCAGAATCTTCCTGCAAAACTGTATCTAACACTGTGTGTACTTTGGAAATTTGTTAGTAGTCATGTTAACATGTTAAAACATGCTGAACTAAATGAATCAACTTACTTTTCACAGGTTGTGAGACTGCATGTGGAGGAGGTTGCCTTTTTGCTCCATCTACCTGCCACGGGTTTTGCTGGGGAGTGGTGCTGTGAGGATGAGAAACGAGCTCCGGCCACTGCCCCCCATCACTACCTAACTTCCTTGACTGCTCTGCTGGCCCTTTTGGGTACCTTTGAAGCCCACTCAGCTCCTCAGTACCTCTATTTTTAAACCAGGGGTTGGGTTTGTGGACTGAAACGGTGTCCTGAGTCCTGGCCCCTGCAGTTTGTGAATCCTGCTGTCCTCCTTGCTGATGTTCCTTCCTCCCTCGATGTGGAGATCCATCTTTACTGGAACTGTCCTTTCGCTGTCTGTCTTTATTCACAACTTTAGTCCTTTCTACATCTTTATCTCTGCTGTTTTCCCGACTGACACCTTTTACAGCTCCATTCTTCCCTCTGTCTCGACCTCCATCTTGGAAATGGTGGTTCGATCGAAGGCTGCTGTTAATGTTGGAGCCCTGGTGATGGTGCTCTTTCCTAAAGCCTCCCTCCTTGGACCTGCCTCCTGATGCCCCTGGTGCTCCTCCTCTGTGTCCTTCCTTTTCTTCAGCGCCCCTCTTCTCCTCCACACTCTTCCTCCGTTTGTATGGAGGCTCTCTGTCTCGGTCAGGACGCTCCATCATGCGGCCTGCAGAGGTGTAGAATGAACGCCAGCTACCTGCAGAGGGACCACGGTAGGTATTCAGAGGGTGTAACGTCCTACCAGTGAAGACCTGATGGGCTGATGGGTGGGAGTGGGGGAGCTGAGGAGGCCAGGGTGGAAATCCCTGAACAGACGACCATGGATGACGAGTTGGGGTGAAGTGGGGGAGGTAGGTGGAGGAGGAGGCACTGCTGCTCCTGAAGCCGGCCCAGGAGAGAGCAGGATGGCTGCAGGGAGGGAGGGATGAGCTGAAAGAGCTCAGCCGGCGAAGGAACATGGGGTGGCTGGAAGGAGAGATCAGAGAGGAGTTATAAAGAGTTCAACATATAGAGCAAAACATCAAGCATTCTCTGGCTGTAGCTTCACTGTTTGGGGAATTTGCTGCTTTTAATCAACAAAACATTAATTTCAAAAAATCTGCAGATTGGTTAACAATGAAAATAAAGCCTGGCTGGAGCCCAGCTAACATGAGACATTAGATCAGACATGAGGTGAATAGATGAAAGGAAAAATATAGTAGATTTTAGGAATTTTGATTTAAAAAATGGAATTTTAAATTACCCATCTATTTGTCAGTTATCTTTAAAATTACCAGATTACTGGTTTACTTTGTAAAGTAGGGCTCAGAATATATTGTTTTACTTTGAAACCGGTGATGCGTGCATGTCAGTAGTCGGCAGACGTGTAACGTGAAGTAAAATAAATTAAATAAAACACACCATGCTACATCTTGCTGCTTGATACACAAAGAAAACTCATCCAGTTCTCATTTTCCAAATATACAAGAGAAGTCTGAGTCTGATAGAACATCACTTACAACAATTTAAGGCTCCAATTTAAGGGTGCGCTGACTTTTGGATTTTTAAAATTTACTTTATTCACAAAACACAAGAGTTTGTTGAAATGCAGGCACCACATGTGGACTGCAAACGGAGCGAGGAACAGGAGAGAAACACTGAAAGGTATTTTGTCAGCAGTGTTTTGTAATTGCTGCCACCACACCAGTCAAAGTAACCGACTTGTTTCACAGTTTAAATCTGCACCACAAAGCTCTGTGACAAGTAAAAAGTTAGAGCTAAACGCTATCCAAAGCAAAAAACTATTCTAGACACTTTTACCAGTGTTACACGTATGCGAAGGTTCCAAATCGGCCCTTTAAAAATGAATTGTCAGTGTAGATGCACTCTGTAAAAAACAAACAAACAAACACCCCAGTCATTGTAGAATAATTAATTCTTTTCTAATAGAGTTTCTATTCCTGTCTATTCATGACATCATTTCCAAAAGCCAAAATATGTTTGTTTGGTTCTCCAACAGTCCAAAGACCACAAGTATTTAGCTTACAACGAAAAAGAAAAGAGAAAAGCAGCAAATCCTCACATTTAGGAAGCTCCAACCAGACAGTGGCTGACACTTAGCAGTCAGACCAACATGTCCAACGGGAGAGAAAAGACAAGCACTGAAGTCAGAGAGACTATTGATAAGACATGACATGAAACATACTTGTTTGTGTTGCATTAGCGATGTTACAAGTCAGTATAACAATTCTCCATAACTAAAAAGGAAAAGCAGCAACCGCAGTGTTAGCTACGTTAGCTGTTAGCTGCCTCCCTGCTCCACTTTGCAGACTTGTCTCTAACCTGTGAAGGTGACACCTGGAACACTTTTGATTAGGATTTACGTTGATTTAATTCTGAATTTCACTACAAACAGGAAACTGACAACTCAAAGAACAAAACACATACGACAAAGTAATGTAACGGCTGCCACAAACACTGTCAGGAGTGTTTTAAAAGCCTCCTTCTCCCGTTGGCTGTTTCCGCCTCACTGAATATGAATGCATCTCAAACAGAAGGAACGTTCAGTAACTCTGAGCAGCTGGCTCACTTTAACTCACTTCTCCTCGTAGAAAGAAGAATCGCCATTTACGTTTCTGCTCGGACGCATTTGGATAAATTATAAAGACGAAACATGATCGAAGTTTGTCTGGTTTGATTGTAAATCCAAAACAAGCCACACTCTGTCTCAGAGATATGACGTTTCCACATACGTAGAAACTGAGCGCGGAATCCTGTGCTGCCTTCAAGGACAACGACAAAGCTCGGCCGTTCAATGTAGTCTATGAAGTGAACGGACACAATTACAAAAGAGCACATGGTCGTTAACGTTCACAAGCAACGCTGCACTAGAATACAGCAATAATAAAAACAAAGACGAATAAAGAAGATAAAATACCAGGTACTACCAATGAAATTTATTATAGTCCTAAATTGCCAAATGTTGAGTAAATGATAAGGAATTGCACGGGAAAAAAATGCTAAAAATTTCCACCTGTGCCTTCAAAAGGTGTACACAACACAACAAAATCAGCAAAATAAAATGCCCTATACCGTTTTTAATAACGATTGCAACTCTTCGGACAATATAACCTTTATCATCGTATTATTTTAAAGTTAAATGGTTCCCGTTGCTAAATTACGACGAGGTGTTAATGTAACTTCACATCAACTTCACGAGGGAAATTAAAGGCATCATCCGAGCTCGCGTCTTTCTCACGGTCTCGCGTTGGAACTTGTAGTTTTTATCTGTCCGCTGACTAGCATCAAATTATATAATACGGTTGTTGAACGGACTACAACCGTGTCGGTACAGCGAGAACATTGGCCCGACTAGAAACATGGCTCGTTGTCGCTAATATATTATTTTATCACATCACGAATGTCACGATTTCTTCTGCAACGACCGCCATTATTCACGGAGCTATTTCAGAAATACGGCATTATGTCAAACTTGAGAATTAGTGCGCTTCTACGTATTTTCACTCGAGCTGTTTGGAGAGAATGGTTGGCGAGATGAAAAGGTCATTGTACTTACGTAAAATCGAGGCTCCACTAGAAGACAGCGGTGTCGTTGAAAACTGGGTGTAAATATAAAATGTCAGCTTCTAATGTGTGACATGTTTTGCTCTACGGTGTCGTTAAAAGGTAAATTAAAGCAGTGAGAGAAGATCAATAATCCGCAGTGTGGATCCAGAGGAGCAGTGAGAGGAGACTC